AAAATTAAAAAAATAAAAATTAAAAAAAAGGCAAGAACTGTAACTTTGAATTTTCCAAAGTACCATCACAGAATAGTATATACATTTAACATATTATACTTTGTAGAAAGTTATAACCATTACTGAACAAAAATATACATGATTTTGGCAAAGAAATTAAGGCCTCTAAAAAAAAAATTAGGAGGCCTAAAAACAAATAATTTCTCTTATGGAAATTTAATATTCTATCCCCAAGCTAAGTGATTCTGCTCAAAAAGGTAAATAGTTAAATAGTATATCCCTGAAGAAAGAGGAAGCACAAAAAGAATTTAGCAAAGGGGAAATATACTATCATTTTTAAAAGTCAACATTTTTAAAAAATGGTATGCTATAGCTATCTAGATCTGGTAATCTGAGCATTCCCTAAAGCACTCACTGCAAACTTAAAACCCAAGAATATCAAAGAGTGGCAAAATGCATTCTCTTCCATAGAATAGAGCTGTAACTGAAGAATAGATGGCTCAGTCTGGTTCTTTATCTTCCCTAACCTCCAGAATCTTGGGGTGGCCAATATGGCTAGTTTTTCTCAATCTAGTGTGAGTACAAATGACACTTGGCACTTCTAAGTCATATGGTTATATCTATTAGGCAGCTTAGCCTAGGCATATAACAGTATTTATCCATCTTAGAATCCATTTTAATGTTTTTTGATATTCAGGTAGAAAACACAACATTTCCCCCCCCCCCAGAGCAAACAGACTAAAATATTATTTCTAAAATTTTACCATTATGGTATCAATTATGATATTTCCTATGAGGAAAACACAACATTGGAGAATGTATAAACTTCAAGCTTATATGTCATAAAAAGAATGCATTGTTCCATTTTAGAAAGATATTCTATGGATGTAGAGAACATAAAAATAATTGGATCTTTTATCTAAGTTAACTTCCACTCTAAGTTTTTTGATAAAACAACTTTATAACAATAACCAAACTTAGATCAAAGTTCTCATAAAACTTTAATTGGCTAGGAAGGAAAATAGAGTCAAAACTCAAAGATCATAGTTTCCAAAAAGAGCCTCCATTTACCCTAGAAGAACTATGGGCAATTTAGCCCACAAGGAACAATTGGGTACAAAATGAATTTAAGTATTTTATCACAATAGAGGCCATTCTTACAATAAATTTCTTTCTCCTTCATTTTTGAGATGTGTATACTTTGAAAATGGTTCTGGGAAGCACTGATAACATGGATTTTTTCAGTGATAATATCCTGATTATATAATTACATATAATTTTATCATATATGTAATTGTATAATTAACTGATTATAGATAAGACATAAGAAAGCACAGTTTTCAAAAGATCAAAGGGAATCATTCCTGTTATTTGTTGATCCTTTCTATGAATGAAACCATCTGAAAATTTACAAGTTTCAATGATACTGCTAATAATACAATGATAACTGGTAATAATAAAAGGCAAAATTCAATAGAACAATGAATAATTGCTAGTTACTACTATAAAACCATAACACTATCTTAAGAATTTTAATGAACAAATGACATAGCCCATTAATTCGGACAACAGGCTATAAGCAAATTACAATAGTGAAGAATATCTGGCCATAGTAGTTTCAAAATAGTGATGGTTTGAGATTATTACCCTGATGGTCTTAATGAATTTTTTTTTAATTTAAAAGTAATTGCAAATATCTACTACCTGAAAAAATATTCTTAGTATTTTCTGTTACACCAACCTGTTCCAATTCTTGTATTTTAGCATCCTTCACTTGCAGAATTTCTAAAACTTTTCTGTCTTTAGCTTCAGATTTCTGTTTTTCTCTACAAAGAAAAATAAGGGAGAGTTTATTAGTTATAATTGGTAGCTAATCCTTTAAATTTTTACATCCTGAAAATGAGTATCACTTTAAAATATAGAAAATTAAATTATCTGGGGTTGACAGCCCTTTCAGAATTAATCAGAAACCATATGGCAAGTGACAACAACTTACAAACTGCTGACAACTAAGACAACTTCATACCAAAAGAACAGTTTAGTTTCCAGATTTAGATCCATGATTAAAAAAAAAATACGCAACACATTTAATCTTGATCACAACCACTCTATCATCAATTTAAAATAAGTCAATATGTTCTTTACTTTTTAATGTTTATTTATTTTTGAGAGAGAGAGAATGCAAGTGGGGGAGGGACGGGGCGGGGAGAATTCCAAGCAGGCTCTGCACTGACCATAGAGAGCCTCATGCATGGTTTAAACTCACAAACCGCGAGATCATGACCTGAGCCAAAATCAGAGCCTAACTAATTGAGATACCCAGGCACCCAAAGTCAGTATGTTCTTAACATAAGCACTTTATACACACAATTAAATTAAGAATAAAATATCATTTTTTTAAGTAAAAGACTCAAAAGAGAACTAGAGACTTACTAGTAACTTTTAATAACGTTTTAACAACTTAAAACGGGATAAAAATTTACCGGACATTTATTTATATTTTAAAACACTTTAAAAATAAGTAAAATAAATAGAAATCTATACTTAAATCACTCAGGATTGACAAAGTATACAGGAAAGTTAGAAGAAAAGAACCCTCAACTGGGAAACAGTGAAATGAAGCGAAGGGCCCTAGACGGTACAAAGGAATATCAGAATGAAGAGACACCAATCAGAAAAGCACAACACTGGTTTAAGAGATAAATTCAGATGATACACTAGTACACTTAAAAAATTTTAGGGGCGCCTGGGTGGCGCAGTCGGTTAAGCGTCCGACTTCAGCCAGGTCACGATCTCGCAGTCCGTGAGTTCAAGCCCCGCGTCAGGCTCTGGGCTGATGGCTCTAAAGCCTGGAGCCTGTTTCCGATTCTGTGTCTCCCTCTCTCTCTGCCCCTCCCCCATTCATGCTCTGTCTCTCTCTGTCCCAAAAAATAAATAAACGTTGAAAAAAAAAAATTAAAAAAAAAAAATTTTTTTAAATAGACTTCCAATAACCTAGCATAATAAGTTCACACTTTGAGGCAATTCTCTGTTCTCTAAGTTGATACTATTATTAGAAAAACATAAAAGAAAAAATTAAGGAAACAGCCACGTCTCTAAGGATTGCAAACTAAACAGAAATACAATGCTACAAACAAGGATGAAGGTGCTGTGTACTGTCCAGATCCAGATGTGGGCTAAGGTGAAAAAGAGCTCTCGGCTACTGAGGGTAACTGCTAATGAAAGTGCCCTGCCCAATATAGGGAAGCATAGCTAACTAAGCTCATTGTTTGAATCCAGAGACTAGGGTGGTGCCCCGAACTTCTGAAAGGAGTCTGGAAAAAGTCTTTCCCCACCCTTGCCTGGAACTAAGGCTTATATGAAAGTTTAGAAAGGCAAACGTTTATAGATAAAATCCCAATCAGGCACTGAGCCAAAACACTCCATAGCCGAGGTACTAAATTTAACAAATCCTCTGTGTCATTATTGGCTAAGAGCCTCACACTACAAATATAAACCTATTTCAGGATGGGATGAGGGTGACAATTTAGTGGCAAACACAAAATTTTTAGAGAAAAAAAGGCATTAGGCAAGGCAGGGTAGTGGAGAAAGGAATAAGAGTACAGTAACATCAACCCTCCTACTCAAGGTTTATCACAAAAAATCCAACAAAACACAAGAAGAAAACACACACTCTAAATTCACATACAACACATGCAAACACTGACTGAATCATTCAAAGAATCAATCACTCTAGACAAAATTAAAATAACACAACACACTGAAAAAGACTTTAAGGGGCGCCTGGGTGGCTCAGTCATTTAGGTGTCCGACTCCTGGTTTCAGCTCAGGTCATGATCTCACAGTTCCGTGAGTTCAAGCCCACATCAGGCTCAGTAGCACAGAGCCTGCTTGGGATTCTCTCTCTCCCCCTCACTCTGCCCCTTCTCTACTCACGCTGTCTCTGTCTCTCTCAAAAATAAATAAAAATAAAGACTTTAAAGTAAGTAAGGATTTATGACCTAAAAGAATGACTATAATTAAAAACAAAAACAATAAATAGATCTTAAAAAATATATTGAAAACCTTGCAAATAAAAATTACAACCACTAAATCAAAACACAATTCAATGGGCTTAGCTCAAAACTAGATGTAAAAAGAGAGTAAGTGAAATGGATAATAACAATGAGAAATTCATCCAGAACACTGCATACAGAAATGAGATGAAAAATATAAAAACACAGTTAAGACATGTAGGTCTCACTTGAAACTCCCAGCATATGCCTAAAGAGTTCCAGAAGCAAAAAAAAATGGGATGAAAGATAAAGCGGTATTTTTAGGAGATAATTTCTGAGAATGTTTTAGAATTAAATAGAATCCTCAGATTGAAAGAATACCTACCAGAATAAATACCTAAAAAACAAACAAACACACATTTACACATTAATCCATCATTCACTTAATGAGTGTTTATTGAGCATTTATTATATGCTCGACTTCATTCTAGGGAATAGAGAACGGCAGCAAACAAAATAAACCAAGTGCCGTCTTGATGGAATTAACATTCTAGCTCATAGATGCTGAAAATAAATGATATATAAGTGAATATATAGTATGCCAACTAGCTATATGTATAAGAACAATAAACTAGGGTAATGCAGAAAGGGATGCCTCGTCTTAGAGAACTGGGAAGCAAAAAGAAGGCTGTTGCTATTTTATAAAAATGACTGTCCTTAAAGATATGTGACCAGAAACTTAAAGGAAGGAATTAAGAGTCATAGAGATTTCAGGGAAGAGTTTTCCAGGCTTTGGGAAAAGTAGCAAGAGCAAAGATACTGAGGCAAGAGCACAATTGTTGTAGCCAAAGAACAGCAAAATAGTAACGTCCATACAAGGGGAGAATGGTGGCTGAGGACAGAATAGTCACTGGGAATAAAGCAGTATATCGCCTTTTAAGCCCTATGAACTTTAGATCTGACTCCCAATAAAATTGGAACAGAGAGGATAGTTTTGAGTAGGGAAATAATACAATAAGAATTAATATTTCACAAGTATCACAGTGGGTCCTGGGCTGAGGTCAGACTCTAGCAATCAAAAGTAGAAGCAGAGAGAATAATTAGGGGGCAAATAAAATACCCAGGTGAGAATTCAAGATGAACTTGACAAGATAGGTAATGGTGGTGTTACTGAGAAAGTAATAAAATTCTTGATATTTTGAAGGTAGGGCTAACAGGATTTCTTGATCCAATAGGTATGAGATTTAAGGGAAGAGAGAAGTCAAGAATGTTTCCAAGGCTTTTGTCTGAATAACTGGAAGGATGAAGTAGACATGATCTCGGAACCTGATGAGGAGAGTTAAAGGACATTAGAATTTTGGATTTGGACAGGGGCACCTGGGTGGCTTAGTCAGTTAAGCCTCCGACTTAGGCTCAGGTCATG